CCCCCTTGCTACTCTCCAGTCTGAACTCCTGGCCACACAGGTGGCTCTCCCGCCTCCTACTTCTCCTCCTCTGATCAGAAAAAAAAAAAGTCCGTCTGTGTCGAGATTCGCCAGCCAGCTCGCTCTGCCGAGATACAAATCAAGATGGAGGACCAGAATGTGGCTCGGTATCGGGCCCTTTGTTGCTTCCTGCCGAAGACGACGCAGGAGATGGCGCATTAGTATGCCGGCACCGGACCGAGCTTTCACATGACATCACCCTTTTGTGTATCTGGCCAGAAAGAGAGCTCTGTAATTGGTCGATGTTCGCCGCCGACCTGCGTGGCCTCTCCAGATGGCCGTTGAGAGGCAGCATATTTTGACATTGATGTAAGGGAACAACATGAAAGGCTGACACCCTCGTTCGTGTGAAAAGGAGGCTTTTAGAGGCGCCGGATGCTAGCGGCCTTCTCAAACGCGGCTAGCGTGCGTGCCGCCTTGTCCAAGCGATGTGATGGGGCAGCACAACTGATCTGCTTGCCAGATGACGCGACGTTTCCGTATGGAACCTGAACAGAAATGTTGTCGTGCGATAAGAAATCAGATTTGTTGCAATGTGTTTTCATCGTTTTTAAAAAAAAAAGGGAGCCTTGGACTTGCTCAGGAAATAAAACAGCTCGCCGATGATTGGGATTGTCCACCAGGCCCTGCGCTTCACGGCCACGACCATATAAAGTCATCCCCGACAGCTGGACGTGAAACCAGAAACCGACCCTTCCGAGCATTTACGAAGCTTCGTCTCCTTGCGCCAACGTTACATGTACACGCATGTACCCCGTTGTGTCCCCTGGAGGGAGTTTGATGTTTTCATGACAGGTTGCTCGTCCGATTCGTTTATTGGCAAAACCGCACAAACGCATCACAGATTGTCTCGATGCAATTTTGTGGAGCAGTTGGGCGGGTGGGCCAACGGGAATGAGGTGCCCTGACGCATTATGGCTCGGATCTGAAAAAGAAGCAGAGAGCAGAAATCATAACGATGTTTTATTTTTTATTTTATTTTTTTTGGAAACCGTAAGGAAACAGAATTTCTCGGAACCTGCGCGGAACCTTACACCTTGCGTGTCATGCTAATTCTCTCAACTCATTTCTGTCTGATAGCCAGACGCAATTTTTGTATGAATGGCAATATTTTCAAACAAAAAGCCGCTCGCTCCTAGACAAAGATGGCGATGATGTACTTTGCATTTCCCATAAATGTTAACCAGAAGGGATTCATGCATCCAAGCCTGATGCTTTTTGATAATGAGCTGTGAGGATGAATTCCAAAACTCCATTAAGAGGTGATATGTGGCGCTCCGCCCGAGACGCCGGGTGGAATTATTGCCACGCTCGCTAACTGCCTGAATGCGGGACGCTTTGCAAATGGCTCTGCCGCTGCCCACAGAGGAGTGAGCTTGAATACGTAAACCCTCATTACACAATCTCCTTTTCTCCTCCTGCGGCAGAAAGGTGAGGCTTTTGAAAAGCCCAGACCGCAATCCACCGAGAGGCGGGGGGGGGTTGGGGACGACCCAAAAAAAAAAAAAAAAAACATTCTGTTTAATTCTGGCTGTGGACTGCACTAGTCAGAGTGTGTAAAGATGTCAAGACAAATAATTCGCTTTGCTGCAAAGCGGCGTTGACCTCAATGAAAGGGCAGCACATCAAAACAAATTTCGGAAAACCTTCGTGAAGGGACGACGGTTTGTCGGACAATGGACGTTCCTCACCTACGTCACACCTGGCAGAGTGTTATTTCTTGTTGCTAAGGGGCCCAAACTGCGTCGGAATGCCTCAAACAAAAGCTTCTCCCCCCCATATGACAGCCGCCTTTTTTCATTTCTCGCTTCTCCAATTCCTGCACAAGCAGGCCAACCGGGTGTACGTTTTCGGTTGACTGCGTGGGGATTTCATTTGTCAATGTACACCAAAGCAATTCATGACACGTTTTGACGCTTATAGCTTCTGCTCACGAGCAATAAACGATATTAGCAAAGGACTCAAGATAGCATTGAGCTGCCAAGTATACCGTGCCGTTAATACACTGACAACATGTAGACTGCTTTGCGAACCCCCACCTCCCCCCCAAAAAAACCCCAAAACACTCTATGATATGCTGGCGCAGGGTTGAACAGATTAGTCAACGACTCCGCGTCCATGTTCGAACCTTGAAGTCGCATCTCGTCGCCGGACTAGCGTATCTTGCGCTGTGGAGCGGTGAACAAGGCAACAGTCTTCCGACAGACAGAATCGGGATAAGATGGTCGTGAATGCTAGTAGCCGTTAGCCTCGCTAGCTGCGAGAATCTTAAAATATTCATTCCCAGTGGGACCATGAGACGGAGTGAAGTGTAAACGCTGTCTTGTTCTTTTATTGCAGCTATTTCCGGTGACATTGGTCTTGCTGGGAAAAAAAAACAAAAGAAAAAAAAAAAACAAAACAAGAATAATCATTTTGTTGACATGTACCTAAAGCAGGGGGCGGGAACCTGTGGCTCGCGAGCCATACGTTGTACAAAAGTACAACTAAAATATAAATAGTTGAGCAAATGTTTAATTTTTTAAAAAAAATCGAGCCGATTTTTCTAACCAAGGTGCAAATGGTGTGTATGCAACTCAAGGTCTGCCGTCTCATTGAAGCGATACGCACCGACTCCATAAAGCGTAATGGTGAGTTTATTTTTAATCATGTTGCTATAATTCTACGCCGCTCCGTGAAAATATGTCTGCGTGAAATCGGCCCCTCCATCGTGCTGGCAAAATAAAAACATCCATTGATCGACTTGGACTCCGCTTGCATCACATTATCGTCGACGACACGAACTCTTTACTTGTCCGACGTTGCTAATACCCCCGTCAAAGTAACTGCTGCCGTTTTGTGGGCGGTTCCGAATCATCGGGGCCAAAAATTTGCAAACTCTTTTAAGTCCCGGCGTCTTATGCGCGCTCGTTGAACTTGACTGCGTCCCGGGGAGTCGTCCTGTGTGCACAGCTGCGGCGGCTACATCCTGCCCTTCCTTTTGTCCCGTCTTGTCACAATAGATGCGGTGAAAGGCTCGAGTTTTTGCAGGTGCCAGCAAACTATGGGCCGCCCCAAAGCCGCTTGCTCTGGAGATGGTGAGAAACCGTTTTTCAGAGCCTGTTACCAGTGTGCGGAGACTGCTGTTGTTTTCATTTGTGGAACGGAAGGGAAAGAAAGGCTCGAAATTGAGTCGGTCGCGCAGGCGAGTAAATGTGCTGCATTGTTGGCTCACAAGTTCTTCATAGATCACCTTTAGCTGACCACCCACACCGAACGTTTCCCAGCCAAGCGCGCTACAAGCCGCTCCTTTCCACTCCATTTCATTCCGATCGCACCGTGAGCGAATGTAGCAAATAAGTGCCTGCTAAAGGTGGGAGCCGCTCTTGGCGTCGTCGCTGCCAAGCGGCTCTCATTTGCAATTTCAATCGGCAATCTTTTCTTCATTGGTTAGCACGGGTCAGTTGCTCGATCCGGCGGTGGGGGCGCGGCTCACCCGAGAGCATAATTTTACCCTCTGTCAGCGAAGGGAAATAAATTCTCGCTCTTTGTTGAGGATCATTTCCATGCTGAAATATTTACGCTCCCTTCAAAAGTGTCCAAGGTGGGGATTCAGTGAGAGCTGGAGAAGGGATTCATTCCCTCGGTTTTCCTCACGTACGGCATTTCGAGGTCCCACGGGATGCTCCCAAACATCGGAAAATAAAGATATCGTCAATCATGTCTGAAGAACAGAAAACATTTACGAATATCGCTGCAGTCTTTGTCGGAGTCCTCATCTTTGCAGAAATTCCAGCGCCTTGGCTAATTAAAGTCCAGGTATCCATCCATCCATCC